TGCAATTTGAAATGACAGTAATTTGGATTGTTTGACAGGGAGTTTTAGCCCATTTATAGGGGAGACTCTGTAAAATTTTTGTAGATCTCTTTCTTTGTGAGGGCAACTGACTATTACAAATACATGTTGCAACTTCTATGGCTCCGTTTGGATTAGCTGTTTTTGGGGTTGTTTTTCAAAAATAGCACTGTAGCATTTTGTTTTTAAAATACAAGTCCGTTTGGATTAGTTGTTTTTGGAGTTATTTTTCAAAAATTATACGAAAAACTTTTACTGTAGATGTTTTTTGGATTATTTTTACAGGTATTTCTAAAACATATTTTTTGGTATTTTTATAATTTATAATTTATAATTTATATTTTTATATACATTTATGCATTTATAATACATTTATAAATATTTATAAAGAAATATATTTATATATTCGCTCAAAATATATATAAATGTATTATATTATATATAATACATAATATAAATATATTTATAAACTTATAAGTGTATATTATTATAAATGTATAAATTATAAATGAATATAAGTGTATATTATTATAAATGTATAAATTATAAATGAATATTACATAAATGTATAAATTACAATTTATAACTTTTATATTTTTATATAAATCTACATTTATGCATTTATAATACATTTATAAATAAATATATTTATACATTTATAAATAAATATATTTATACATTTATAAATAAATATATTTATACATTTATAAATAAATATATTTATACATTTATAAATAAATATATTTATACATTTATAAATAAATATATTTATACATTTATATATAAATATATTTATACATTTATAAATAAATATATTTATACATTTATAAATAAATATATTTATACATTTATATATAAATATATTTATACATTTATATATAAATATATTTATACATTTATATATAAATATATTTATACATTTATAAATAAATATATTTATACATTTATATATAAATATATTTATACATTTATAAATAAATATATTTATACATTTATAAATAAATATATTTATACATTTATATATAAATATATAAATGTATTATAAATTTATTATATTATATATAATACATAATATAAATATATTTATAAATGTATAAGTTTATATTATTGTAAATGTATAAATTATAAATGAATATTATATGAATGTATAAATTATAAATTATATATTTTTATATAAATATACATTTATGCAATTATAATACATTTATAAATAAATATATTTATGTATTTACATAAAAATATATAATACATAATATAAATATATTTATAAACGTATAAGTCTATATTATTATAAATGTATAAATTACAAATGAATATTATATAAATGTATAAATTATAATTTTATTAATATATATTAGTATTAAGTATAAATGTATTAATATAATTAATATAAATGTACAAATGTATTAATATTATGTATAAATATAAAATTAATATTATGTATATTAATATAAATGTATAAATGTATTATATTATATATAATACATAATATAAATTTATATTATAAATATACATTAATATATATTATGTATAAATGTACATTTATATAAATGTATAATATATATAATATATAATATATGTTATATTATATATAATTTATATAATATATAATATATGTTATATTATATATAATTTATATAATATATAAAATTCATATAAATATATAAAAATATTTATAATATGTACAAATAATATATAAATATTTAAAATATATAATATACGTTAATATTAATTATAAATATTTTAATATTATAAATATGGTGTTTATATAATATTTCAATTTGTAATATTTGTTGTATATTTTATTATATAAATGTCAAAAACAGTTTTTGAAAAACAGCCCAAAAAACAAGGGATCCAAACACACCCTATATATTTTTAAGTGATTTTTTATTGTAAATTATTTCTTCATCTAGGTACAACAAAGTTGGGATACAAGCCTGGAAGGTTGTGTTTGGTACCTCTAGAATCTAACCCACAGAAGTTGGCTACATTCGGATTTGATACAAGTCATTAGGTTGGGAATTTATTTTATATTACAACTATTGGATCTTTGCCGTCGAATTGAAATAGTATAGTTTGTTAAATCTTCTTTTAGTAGAAAAGAGCGTTAGAATATGAAATACGGATTTCATTTATGGCGAATTGATGGATTTAAAGTCAATGACCAACCTTGTAGTATTTTTTGTAATTGGCAAAATCTATAATGCTAAAAAAGTGGCAAAATCTGCTATAGGGAAAAACATTAATTTTATAAGGTTCATTGCTAGAATATCACATCATTGTGAATGTGGATTTTGTTATGCGGTGTGAATGTGGAGGCCAAATATATATAACTTCCCGTACTTTTCTTATACTTGTATTTTGAAAATTATAGGGTCTCTTGACAATATGTAGTGTGGCAAATGTCATTACAACTTCATATAAACCCTGTTTGGATTGGTTGGCAGGGAGTTTTAGTTTATTTTGTGGATTGGTTGGCAAGGAGTTTTAGTCTATTTTTCGGGGAGACTCTGTCCAAATTTTCTCAAAATTTCGTTGGGAGTTTTAGGCTATTCATATCGTCATTTATAGCATATTTCATACCTGTTTTCAATTTTTTCATAAACATCTGGATCGAAATTAGTCTATTTAATAGTGCCAATTTCGACCTAGAGTCCACCCTCTTTCATTTGTTTGGACTCTTGGACAACTAATTCTAATTTATTGTCCCCAAAATAGGGATTCATTTCACAGACATGTCTGTAGAAAGACCTCTGCGGGTAAACCTATATTGGGGAGGAGAAATACATTACGAGGGTGACTTTGTTTGTTATTTGCCTCGTACTTCCAACCGGACATTCACTTTGAGGCATAGAATTGGATACGGGGAGTTGGTTGACAGGATTTATCACTATATTAGGGTCGATAAAGGGATGTTCAAGCTGAAATTGTTTCTTCGTCAACCGTTGGAGAGTTCCAAATATACTGTTTCCGCAGTGGTGGATGATGAAACTCTTGATGTAATGTACGATCTTTGGATCCAAAGAGTTTCATACATGGCGGAGATTTATATCGAGAAGGAAGAAATCGTCCAAATGCCTGTAGTTAATAGCGTATTCATTGGACCAATAGGTAATGTTGGTCCAATGATGTCGCTTGTACATGCATTCATGTATCTAACAAAGTTTAACTTCAGTTCTAGTTCAATCATTCCAGAGACTTCATCGGCATCTCATTATATGCATGATGATCAATCTATGAATTTATTAGAACCAAGGCTCACATCAGGGTCCATGGGTGCCCAGGAATATTTTCATGGCCTGGATTCGATTCCAAGTTTTGGAGATCCAGGGCCATCATGCCATATTTCTCCACATGGGATCGAATCTAACCCTGGTCAAGATTGTCGTAGTTCAGCTGAACATGATGTATATGCTAGTGGGCATAATAGGCTCCTTGCCTCTGAAGAAGATGATCCGGAAGAAGATGATCCGGAAGTTGATGCGGAAGAGGTTGAAGAGTCGGAGTCGCAAGATGTGTCTGGTAGTGAGTCGAATGATGAGCATGAAGGTGGGGGTTTAAGAGTAAACCTCGATACCCAACAACCTTTTATTGGGTATTGGGTTGCTAACACAGAATGCGGAGATATCAGGCGTAATAGCACAGCTGGCAGCTCTGCATATGTTCCAAGAGAAATGGCATTTTTCTCCGATCTTGGTAGCATAGATGATGATGATATAGAAGAGGAGGATGGATTGGAGCGTATTGTCACATTCAGTGAGAAAAATAATAATATACGTCTCCATATGAAGTTTGAGAGTAAATAGTAGCTCAGCCGGGCAGTTAGGATGTGGTCCATCAATCACAATAGGGAATTCAGAGTTATTGAGAGTAAGAGTAACACGTGGTTTGCTAAATGCAAATCATCAATTGAAAGAACTCCTTCCACATCAACCGCGCCGTCGTATCCACCATGCGACTGGTGTGTTAGAACCGTAAAGAAAAAGACTCATGGAATGTGGCAAATTACAAAATGGATTAATGACCATAACTGTTTAGGCGACATGATTAGAAATAACAATACAAGTCTGACGGCTTCCGTTATTTCAAGGCACATACTCCGTAGCATTGAAGATGATCCTAGATTAAAGGTCAAGAACATACTAAGTTTCGTTAAAGAAAACTTGAAGGTTGATGTGTCTTACAAAAAAGCCTGGTATGCCAGACGTAAAGCAATTGAGCTTGTGTTTGGATCTTGGGAGGCGAATTTTGCCGAACTACCACAGTATTTCGATGCCCTGGTGCAATCCAATCCAGGTACCGTGGTGGAGTGGTCGCATCATTCGGATGGTTCGGATCAAGTTAAGACTTTTAAGTATGTATTCTGGGCCTTTGGACCGGCTATTAAAGCATTTCACATGTGCAGGTCGGTTATATGTGTTGATGGCACTCATTTGCGTGGCGAATACAAGGGCAAACTCCTTGTTACAGTCACTCAAGATGCGAACAACAATATTCTGCCAATTGCTTATGCCATAGTAGATAAGGAGACGATTTCCAGTTGGTCGTGGTTTATGGAACAATTAAGATATAATGTGGCACTTGATCGACATCCTATCTGTGTCATTTCCGATCGCCACAACGGTATCATCTATACCATGACACACTTTGATTATTGGGAAGAACCTTTGGCCTACCATAAGTTTTGCCTGCGACATGTTAGGAGCAATTTGATAAGACACTTCAAAGGTTTACACCTTAAAAGGTTGTGTTGGGCAATAGGAAGGACAAGACAATTGCGCAAGTAGCGGATGTTCAGAAGAGAACTACGAAGCATGTTTCCAGATGGTTGGAATTATCTGCCTGCCATTAGTCCAGAAAAGTGGTGCCTAACACACGACGATGGCCATCGTTGGGGTATTCTAACTACCAACATATCCGAAAGTTATAATAATGTCTTGCGCGAGACACACCATTTGCCAATTCGTGCATGCATTGACATGACATTCCATCGGACAGTTGTGTTATTTAAGACGAGAAGTGAAGATGCTTCACATTGTCGCAATCTTTTCCCCCCAAAGATATGGCGGCGTTTTAAGAATACTGAGCAGAAGGTAGGCGCCCACAGAGTCATTGAGTTCGATGGCCCATCGGGCGTATATAAGGTTATCACAGGTCGGCTTGTCGATGGTAAAGGAGACAATACGCAAACCGTCAGGTTTTTTGATAAGGCATGCTCTTGTGAAAAGTGGCAGAATTATAGGCTTCTTTGTTCATACGCTTTGGCGGTGTGCAGGAATAGAGGTGACAATCTGGAATTGCTTGTGGATCAGCAGTTTACCAAAACGAGGTGGGCCGTGCAGTATTCAGGGAAGTTTAACCCACTGCCGCATCAAGATATTTGGCTCCATCCTGGATGGGAACTGCAGGCAGATAGGAGCAAGTTTGTTGCACGTCGGGCAGGGCGGGTTCGAGCTAACAGAATTCGAAATGAGATGGATGAAAGGGATCCAGACGAACCAAGAAGATGTCGAAATTGTCATCAGACAGGTCACAATAGGAGAAATTGTCTAAAATTATAGTTCTTGATTTGATCGAGTTCCTAGAAATTGGAAACTCATGTCAGTGCACTCTAGTTTGACAGAGGGTTCATTCTAGTTCATTTGTGTTCAATTCATGATTTATTTTAAACAATTACATTAGTGACTTTCATTGTTTATTTGTCAAATGCATGCTTCGTTCTTGACTATGATAAGTATTGAATTAATTAGTTTAAACATGCAGCCCAACAGTTTTATTCATTTATCGTTATATCCCCTATCCATTGATTTGTTAAAAAAATGCTCGGATGGTGTGTTATATGTGTTAATGCTCTTGCATATGCAGGATATGGTATTTTGATATTTGATTGACAGGGAATTATGGCCGCTTTATAGGGGAGACTCTGTCAAATTTTTTTTAAAACTTTTAAAATATGACTACAAATAAATTGCTGCAGTATATGAATACATAGAGGAATAACAAATGTTTCTAAAAAAAATAACTGATTGGTAGGGAGTTGTAGTCGATTTATAAGCGATATATGGTCAAAATTTTCTCAAAAAAAAGTCTTGAACGCGATTTATAGGTCAAAATTGTATACACAAACTTTTGGAAAGTACTTATGCATAACTATTGAATTTAATCGATGTAAATATTTGTTTGGGATTATGGCCGACACTCCTATCCCTCCTGTCCTACATCCAGGACCATACGTGAACGACATTATATCGGAGGGAATTGCACACCGAGCACATTCCATTTTTCACGGACATATTGAGGGCAATCAGTTAGATGTCAGACGGTGTGACAGAGGATTTTGGGAGTATACACCTATTCCTGATCGGGTCTGTCGTTATATTGCCTTGGTTGGATTTGAGGGGGTGCTTGAGAGTGGATATCAGATGGTTGATCATTCTTTAATCACAAGTTTAGTGGAGAGATGGCGGCCCGAGACGCATACATTTCATTTACCGGTTGGAGAGGCTACCGTGACATTACAGGATGTAAAGGTGTTGTGGGGGTTGCACATCAATGGTCCACCGGTTATAGGGATAGACACATACCGCAACATTCAGGAGTGGGGAGCCATTTGTGAGAAGCTCATTGGATTTTCTCCTGCAGTTGGATACTTTGATGGACAGAGGCTAAAATTGGGATGTTTACCAAGAGTCTTAGACACAGTTTTGCCACCCGATGCTTCAGATGTCCAATTTAGGCAGCGTGCGCGCATCTACCTCTTATTGATTTTAGGTGGACATTTATTGTCCGATAAGTCCGGCAACAAAGTCCCTTTGTTGTATCTTCCATTACTACGGGACTTCGAAACTGTTGGGCAATATAGTTGGGGTAGTGCGTGTTTGGCGACTCTCTATCGGTTAGTTTGTGATGCCACGAATCCTGTCAAATCGGCTATTGCCGGTCTATTAGTTTTGCTACAGGTACATTGCACCCAATAATGATATGTCTTGGGTTTCTTGCATATTATCATTTTACAATTTTAACATTGATTCTAATTTTCTAACAGCTCTGGATTTGGGAACATATACCAACCATGCATCCGGGCCGAATCGCGCCGTTGGAGCATTACCCTGGTCCATATGGAGCTAGGTGCGCATTTCGCCCTTATTTCGGTTGTTTTAATGACATTTGTTATCGAAACAACTTTAATTTGTTCTAAACAGGTTCTTACTTTATTAAATATAGGTGAAATAATGACTTGGACGTACACAGAGTTGTTAGGCATGTTGTGCCCGCATGCCGAGATCAGTTGACAGGCCTGCGTCCTGAAGAGGTATTGTACATATGTCCGGACAATAGAAATATTTGAAAAGTTGTGCCAGTAGTCTTGTCATAATATTTCTTGTCAACTGAAAGCATAAGTTTGTCAGATTGCATTTTGTGAATGGAAATTGAGTTTGTTGGCAGGGAGTTAACCTCCAGTTATAGGGGAGACTCTGCCGAAATTTTTTTAGAAATTCAAAAATTTTTTAATTGACCGGAGACTAGCATTTTTTTCATGAAATTGTCCAATTTGAATATTGGGAAGTTTTATTATTTCTTAATAGAAAAAATGAAACAACTTTGATTTTATATTTTTTTCAGTTTATATGGCAGCCATATTTGGAGGACGTTCTCGCTTCTCTTCCTGCGTATTGTACTGCAGGTCGGGACATTTGGAGGTCCGTAACGTATCTTATTTGCTGGGATGTAGTTGAGCCGCACCTCCCTCATCGGGTTATGCGGCAGTTTGGATTTCATCAGTCCCTGCCTGATATGAGGTTGACAGATAATCAGGCAGTTCTACATTCTCTAGATCGTCGTGGTAGGGCGAATCAAGACTGAAGCACCACGCATAAACAATATCTTGATATTTGGACTGATCGACGTGTGCATGCACAAGATGGCACTGTAATTGAAGATACTACATATCCATCGGATGAGTATGTTTGGTGGTATCGGGAGCGGACGGTGATTTATATTTCAAATCCAAGTCAATTTCCCGCTTTCCCAGAGGGCTTTCAGGGTGATAGCGTTAGGGCACAATATCTTGTAAGTTTATTTCCAACCCACTTTTAATAATCACTTTGAGTTTGCTCACTTTTTTAACTATTTTTTACCACAGTATCTCCTTCTTATTCTTATATTTGTTTCTCCAGAGCGATGCCATGTCTCACATGTATTTCATGGTACAGGACTCTCTTGCAGTTAGTGATGAACAACACAGCAGCTATTTTCAAGAGTTGAGGGACTTTGCATCCACATCTTTGCATCATGTAGAAGAGTCACGCCGACTTGCATTTCGCCCTCCACACGTACCACAGGAGATTCCACTATATGTTGATCCGTGTCGTGTTCAGCGAGCTCCTAGAAATACCCACGGAAGTCAGCATGGCGGTGGACGACGTCGTACACTCCGATCACCAGAACCCGCCATACAAACTGGATTCCATAGAGGTTCGCTGGCTACTGAGGACCAAGGTGGCACATCTACTTTTGTCACACCTCAGACTGAAGTCATGCATGAGAGAGGTGTATCGATTGGGCATTTTAGGTCCCCTATGACTTTTCCAGAGTTTACACCCGATAGGGACTCACATTAGCATACTTCTGAGCAATGTGAAAGAGGTGAAGGCACAAGCACTCAAATTCAAGATGCTACACTGTTGACACATATTACTCAAGTCTATACAGTAGTGCCAAACCAACTATATCGAAACCAAAGAATACCCAAACCAACAACATGTGGTACTCATGGAAAACTTGGGCAGCATTGATGGCACGCTACTTATATCGTTATTGTATAAGTAACCTAACTTATGGATTACATACTTTTTTGGTGACATTTTGTATATATTCTAAAATTTCACGAATATGAGTGGAACAATGCCATCACGCGTATCTTAATTCTCATTTTATATGAGTACTCTTTTAAACAAAACTAAAAATGTAGGATAAAATTACAAAGAAATCCTTTTTTCCCATGAACAGAATAAATATAAAAAAGGTAAACTATACTAACCTCTCATCTAGTTCATACACGGTAAGTTAGTTACATGTCGGAACTTCACAAAAAAAAAATTAAACATACTATTTATAATATATTTATATATTGTTATTTTTTACCTTTTGTTATTCATAGTTTCTCCATTAAATATATGGAATAAACTTTAATATTCTCATATGGGCAAGTTAAAAATAAGATTACAATTTTGTTCATGAAAATTAAGCCCTAACTTATTAACAATTTAATTTTATTTTATATTGACCTTGAAAATAAAGAAGCAAGATGTGTAGTTATTTCGTTAAAATAATTGTATTATAATAAAATTAGGTATTTCCAACCGTAATCTGCCTCTATGCATGTACAGTTATTTATATAAAAAGAATTAAATTGAATATAATTTTGTGAGAGCTCATATTTGCAAACTTCAAACTCATGCAAGTTTTAAAAAGAAACGGATATATTCCTCAACAAATAATAAGTTTTTAAATAAGATATCTCTTACAACAAACTTTTTTATAAATGTCGATGCAAAAAACATAAATTATAATATCAGCTACTGACTACATTAGAGATAGCACTCAGGGTTTGAGGCTTTTAGGATTCAGGGTTTTAGGGTTTTAGAGATCAAGATTTAGTGTTTTAGGAGAATAGCGCTTTCGGGTTTAGGGTTGTAGGATTTTAGTTTGACAATAGTGTGCCTTGATTAGGACTTTAGATTTTTAATTAAAATAGTAATCCTATCGTGCCGCAAAAATATTTTTTAATGGATTTTAATAAACCCAACAACCTTGATTTGATGTTTTAGGGTTTACAAGGATTTGCTTTCTAAGATTTACGATTTAGTGTTTTACGGCTTTAGCACTTAGGGTTTTAGGATTTTTGCATGACAATAAATTTGTCTTGATTATCGCTTTATATTTTTAATCAAAATAGTAATCCTGCCAATAATTGTAAAAGGTAAAACACGCAAGATTTAATCGCTAGATATTTGATTTAATTTTTTTCTTTTCCTTTTCAACTACCAAACAAATAACATGCACTTCATAAAAATAACTTATATAACTTTTTTAAATAACATTGCGTTATGGAATTTCTAAAATTATAGTTGAAATTGTAACAGATATTAATGACTATTAATTATTAGATTCTTATAACTAATATTCATCGGTGTCAACAAATAAATACGATTCATTAATAACAAAGGAAAATTAGAATTTGATAAAAAAATTTATTTTATAAAAAAGGAAAAAAAGTTAGTATTTTATTCATAAAATATAGTCAACACCTTACATGTTAACAATTTCATTCTATTTTTACATTGATCTATGAAATAGAAAGAACTATGCATGTGTACTTTTTCCACCATTTAAATGTATTATAATAAAATAACATATTTCCAACCGTACAATTACCAATTTTTTTTAATATAAAAGAAATATGCATGTATAGTAAATTATATTAAAAAGATTATTGTGAATATGATTTTTTTTAGAGCACATATTTGATGACTTTTGGCACGTGCAAGTTTTAAAATAAAAAAATTTATTCCTCTGCTAATTACAGATTTTTAAATAAAATTTCTCTAACATTTCTCCGAAATATAAGATTTTAGTAGAGATTTTAAAATAAGATTTTACTACCGACAGCATTTTAGTAAAGGCAAATTCTACAAAACAAACAACATTTACATTTAATTTTACATTTTTTTTGGAGCTCGTAAATTTCAATTTAAAATTTTTTTTCTAGCAAGTTTGAATTTAATTTTCTGAAAGTCATACTTATAAATGCGAAATCTAACAAAAAAATTAATTACAATTTTTGGAGGTCAAATTTATCAAATGTGAGCTATTTGAAAAATTAAAGAAA